GGCGGCATACAAATAATACAATACAATACAATACAATTTGTCTCTCTAACTCAATATATATTGTAATATAGAGATAGTCTTTCCGGGTTAGTGTTATTTGGATTCTTTTCAACTGGGGCTATAACAGGGAGCTTCCTCATGAAAATGAGGTGGTCTATAAATGTTCCCATCCCTTCCCTTCCTCGGGATATGGAAACTATTCTCTAATTTATATTTAGAGACATCAGTGCTATCAATGGGCATCACTTTATCTAATTTAAATCCCTGAAAGTCAGACAAATTAAAAATGTACTTTCCAAACTCTTGAGTCCTATACAGGAGCAGGTTTCTAAATACATGAATGAGATGCAAGAAGATACCTAACTAATTTTGTCCTCTTGACGTTGTCCAGTGTAATAATATTACTCTCAAGCTAATGCATTGGACTGGGATACCCTTTCCTCTGTTGTAAAGCCTACTTTTGAGGAACCATCTCTTCACCCACATACTAGTTTGCAAGCATTATTGATATGCATGTCATCATGAAAGAGAAGAAATTAATTCCAAACATCATCTCTGAGGATTATTCATATTAGTGTATTCCAAGTGACACCCACTTGGTTTGGAGAAAATGAAACTGGTGTTGAAAATGAGGGGAGAACATGGTTCCAGAACACCTAGGAAATCATACTTTACTCAGATCTTCACTTTTTAAAATCTTATCCTTATTTTCCTATAATTTTTTTCAGATGAAAAGACCTTCACTTTGGTATCAATAATTATTTCACACCTAGTGTTACAGAAAACTTCTATAAATCATTATTTGGACACAAATAATGTCCAAATTAGAGCATAAATTGGAGCAATGAGGTCTTGTCAGTTTAGCTATGCAATCTTGAGATCATTTGCAAGAGTGGAACTAAATATTATCCGCTCCAGAGAAGAGGGTTAACCAACTCTTACTTCAGTTTAATTTGAGATGCATCAGAACATCTTTTTAAGCCTTGTGAAGTCATTCATAACTATTGTTAACAAGGCAAACCTTTTCCTTACTGTTTAATTTTTAATTCCTCTTCCCTTTACTTTGAGATAATAAAGACTGCTTCCAAGACATAGCGTGGGACTTCCAGCTTTAACTACAGTGGGCATCTCCATAATTTGATCTCTGAAGATTCATCACTTGTTGCTTGTATCTACACTGAGAGTTTAGGCACCGGAGACAAATTCTTTGTTTGTCCAATCGCACTTGGCCAATAAAGAATTCCTATTCTATTCTATTCTATTCTATTCTATTCTATTCTATTCCACTCCACTCCACTCCATTCCATTCCATTCCACTCCATTCCATTCTTCTACTCCACTCCACTCTGCTCCATTCCATTCCATTCTGTTCTATTCTATTCACCAATATGCCTTCTCATCCTACTACTGTTTGTATATTGTATTGCATTACCGCTGTCAACTATGCGGAACTTGGGATGATACAGCAGTCTGCCTTTTTCATACTTTACTAGACTGGAGCTGAAAACATGGTTCTGCTGAAGCCTCCATTTCGGATAGTCATTTTGTAGTTTAATGTTTCTGCTGATTTATTGGATCGCACCTCGGGATTTTTTTCAAACCTCATTTTATTGTACAAATAGTGAATGTTGCATCTTTTAATAACTATTACAATAACCCCATAAGAATTGGGAGGGGGAGAATGGAGCAAGGGACTTAGAGAGAAATGCAAGATTTGACCAATGGCTCTTCACTACTTCATCACCCAGCTTAGTTTTGTTTTGTTTTTAAACATTCCAAATGTGCATTACGCTGTCACATACAGGATTACAAACAAAATTACAGTACAGGTTGATTTCAGATGAACCAGCATTACATTTCAGACAGCACTTATTCTGGGTTGCATTGTGCATGCATAACTATCTTGTTCTAATTACAAAGTCAAATGGTTTGCATTGGTTTGAAAACTTCTAACTACAATTGGCATATAATATATAACCCAACGATCATAAATCTTTCAATTTTTTTCCACCTGGACAGAAATAAAAAATTATATAACTATGCATTTTAAAAATCATGCATTTAAGGTTGCATGGAAACAATGTTCCTTTATCTGTAGTTTTTTTAAAAAAATCTTAAAGAAATTAGGGTGGACTCCAAAGAGCTTTAAAAAAAATATTGCAAGTTGAATGTGATCCTGAAGCAGCTGTTTTTTTGTGGATAAGTGCAGGGTGTTTGTTCATGAGAACATGGATGCATGCACACACACACACACACAATTTTGCAGAACTCTTGGAATAATATACCAATATAATTAATGGGAAATAAATATTTTCCATCTTCCATCCTTTCAAGCATTTTTATAAATGAAAATCACATAGAGATTTTCTTATCCCCCCCCCCCGAAAAAAGAAAAGTTGTGTGTGTGTCTGTGTGTGTGTGTCTGTGTGTGTGTGCATTTAAAAAGAAATTGAACGGAGGCGATGCTAAGGCAAGAAACAGCTTTTTTTTCTCCCTTGTTCTTCTAAGTATTTTTTCTGTTGGTTTAAATTACTTAAATTATTCTATATAAATTAGATATTATTCTACTTTGTTTCCGATAGGTATAAAAAATCGATGAAGCTGCATGGTTCAAAATAGTTTATCAAAAGTTATTAAAAATTCTGTACAAAAAAAATCACAACCAAAGACGCCAAAACGGGAAAGGGAACAAGTAGGAAAAACAAAACGCTGATTGAAAAATATAAATTTTATATATATTTTCAATTTCTTTCCTTTCTTTCTTCTTCTTCTTTTTTGTAACTGACAGATTTAGTGTTCGTTTTTAAAAAAATTGCATAGATCCTAATTATTGCTTGCCATTCGTTGTGCCGATCAAACCAAGGGAAAGCCGAACGTCATCTAATCAACACCATCAAGATTCGGAGCGACGGGAGGAAGGGCGGGAATGACCGGCGGGCCCAAGAGAAATGTCCGCTTCTCCGTTGCTCCTGAAAGGTGAGAACCCTAAAACGCATAAAAAGGTGTCTCGGAAGCCTGGAAGGGTTCCTTTTTCTCCGCTCCTGCCCGTCTTTTGCTCCCTTCCTTGCGGGGGAACGTAGTGGCCGCCGCGAGCATCCCGGTTCCTTCTCTTTAAGCGGCTTGGAAGACCTTTCAGTCGTGAAAGATCGCGTTGAGCTGGGCGCTCATGACCCGCTCGTGGTGGACCTGGCTCTCGTAGGGCAGGAGGCTGTCGAGAGGGAGATCGCAGCGCGAAGCCGCCGAGCAGGCGAAGAGGGAGCCGTGGCCGGGAGCTCCGGCCAGGCCGGCGGCCGGGTAGTGCATGGTGAAGGCGTAGTTCTTCTCGAACTCGTTGGACGGCTCGTGCTTGAAGGAGAAGTTCCCGTTGACGCTGAGCGGCGGGCTGAGGGGCCCGTCGAAAGCGGGGCTCTCCCCTTCGGCTAGGGCGCTCTCGTAGAAGGGCTCCAGCGCCGCCCCGTAAGCGGGAGGCGCCTTGAGATGGAAGAGGTGGGAGCTGTCCATGGTGCCGTAGGGCGGACTCGGAAGGCCGGGCGACTGGTAAGGGTAGGGATGGCCCGGGAAGGAAGCGCCGGTAGGCTGGATGTGGGTCAGCAGCTCCGGGTTCTGCTCGGGCAGGAAGGTCCGCGGGTTGAGCTGGAGGCAGCCGGCCACCAGGTTGGTCGTGGGCTGAGATAAGCCTTTGCAGAGACTCTGCACGAAGGACACCAAGTCGGGGCTCTTGCCCGAGCGCAAGATCTCCGAGAGGGCCCCGATGTAGTTCTTGGCCAGGCGCAGCGTCTCGATCTTGGAGAGCTTCTGCGTTTTGGAATAGCAGGGCACCACTTTGCGCAGGTTGTCCAGCGCGGCGTTGAGACCGTGCATGCGATTCCGCTCGCGGGCGTTGGCCTTCATACGCCGGAGCTTGAATCTCTCCAGCCGCGCTTTGGTCATCTTCTTCTTCTTGGGGCCACGTCTCTTGGGTTTTTGGTCGTCCTCGTCGCCTTCCTCCTCCTCCTCGGCATCCTCGTCGTCTTCCTCCGCCTCCTCCTCCTCTAGGTCATCCTCCTCTTCCTCCTCCTCTTCTTCCCCGTTTCTCAGAGATTCGACATCAGCCTCTACCTGCAAGGTTTCCAAGTCCTCCTCTTTCTTGTCCATGTCATGGTCGTCGTCCTGGGAGCTGAGGCAGTCGTCAGTCCAGCTGGGGGTGCCGTGGGGCTGAGGCTCTCTCATCAGTGGGTGCTCACTGTACGATTTGGTCATTCTGAGAATCCTAGGCCAAGGAGAAATAAACACATTTAAAACTACGGACACTGCATATATGTACACATAATATTCTGCAAGCAAACCTGTTTCCTAGGAAGTAAGTATTAGTGGACTTCCTAAAATGTTTTTTTTTTTGTGAGTAACCCTTCTTTTATTCAAGAAGCATTGTCCAGTACAATATCATTCTAAGAAACGGCCTTTGGCTTCAATTGGATCTCATTACAGCTCCCGTTACACCTGCAACTTCAGAGACGCCACGGACCTAAGTTAAATTCCGTGGTCGGTTCCATTTTTTCAAAAACTGAACTAAGCGAGGGACACCGCCCTGGCAATGAAATTTACTTACTCTTGCTGCCTTTCGCCAACAAGCTTTTAATTCTCGTAGTTCTCTTCTCGGCGACGCCTCTTGTCTCATAGAGCGTTATGTAATGTTTTATGGGGATTTTATAGGCGGAGGTCTCTAACCAAGAAGGGGGGGTTCGAATTGCATTTAAAACACACCCACGCTGTAGATCCAACGGAGCAAATTGCCAATAATAATTTATCCAGGGCAGCAGGAGGAGGATTTATTCTTTTATTCGGCTCGCCTTTTCATTGCTTTCGCCCGTCCACAATAGCAGCCGATGCCATCCTGCACAAAAGCTTTACAGACTTCCCAACTGTTCAGAGTCGAGGAAAACCCTGCCACCGAGACAGGGATCAGGTGCACTGACCGCCTAATAATTCCCCCTGCCCCCCCTTTTTTTGTCTGAGGAACCTCAATGTTCTGGGGAAACGTTTGCTAATGAGGAAATGGAAAGGACGGTGCGGGGGGACGGGGTGGGGGCATGGAATGAAACCTGCCACGCAGGGCAAGCCCGGCGCAATCAAAATGCAACAGTTGAGCCCGTTGACTTAGTTGACTTGGGAAGTTCTTTGCTCCACCAGATTGTCAATCAAGCTCCCAGTTCCAAAACGCTTTAATTGGCAGCAGAACTTACCAAATCTAGCCCTCTCTGCTCTAAACTGCACCATCATCTTCATCTTCATCATCAACATCACCACCACCATCCCCAATCTCGATTTAAAGGACAACAGTGCTATTTGGAATTATTTAATTTCATCCCCCCCTTATTCTCCCCACTTTGCTGTCACCTTCAAAACGCGGAGCCTGACTTTAGAATGAGCAGCCCTTTCCGTCCCCCCTGAGGGGGGAGTCCATCTGGTTCGTTTCGCACCCCCAAATCGGTGCCAGCCAGCTTCTTGAGCCACAGAGCAGATGCCACGGGCCGTATCTGTTTCACCACCACCCCACCCTCCTGCTGGGCTTCCTTGGGTAATCGGGAGGGGGGGGGAGAGAGTAAGATTAAGTCTAGAAGCTTTTGCGACGTTCTCTAGGAAACGAACCTCACTTGGGCATCAGTGTAACTTCCACTCCGAAGTTTAAAAAAAACAAACACCTAAAACACCTATTAGAGCCGGATGGAAGCCACCACGGAAAGCCAAAGCCATCCATTCAATGGCTCTTCTTCTTCTTGGTTTAATGCGCATTGATCGAAATCAGGCTCAAAAGATCGAAGGCGTCATCCTCACCCTGAACATCAGGGTCGCCTGCATCCGAGCTATCGCTTCTCCCACCTAAGCTGGACCTCAAGGACTGAAATTACCTCTCCTTTTTTCCTTCTTCTCCTTCTTCTTCTTCAGCGTATCCTCCGCAGCGCAGGTTTCATAACCTTGTTGGTCCCGGGACGCTTTTCCTTGGGCGCGGACGGCTTCCCTTTTCATTTACTTCGTCGATTCAGTCCGATGGTGGTTACTTTTTTTTTCTTAGAAGCCGCGGGTTAAAGAGGCTCAGGTTGTATATATAGAGGCAGCCTGGGCATGCTTGGGAAGGGGAGGGGCGGGGAACGGCCGGCCCCGCCTCGCCGCTCCCTCCCCGCCCACTTCTTCGCCGACCGCGTCAGCCTTCCCCCGGCACGCGCCATCTGGTCCCCCCCCCCCACGTCAGACTCCCGAAGCGGCGGGCGCGGGGAGGAGAGAGGCGAAAGGGAGGGGGGAACGGGGGGGGTGAGGTTTGGCGGTGGTCACGTGAGCTGCCCATTTGTATGCCGCCCCGCTCTCCCCTCCATCCCTTTGTGGCCCGAAGAAAGTGGCCATCTGTCGCCAGCCGGAGACTCTTGCGGACCTGTTTGTACCCGCAGGAGAGATTAACCCGTTCTTCTGCGCCGGGCTCGGGGTTGTTGGGGAGGAGAAGGGGAAGGGGAATGGAAGGCAGGGCTTGCCACTTGCACTTTGCCACTCTACGACAGGCTGGCTTCTCTAGAGAATGGAAAGAGGAACAGATTTCTCTCCCCCTCCTTTGACACACACACAGATATACCCCTAAATGCGAATGCCACTCCGAATATCAACTTGCGGGGGGGGGGGCGCAAAGGGAAGGGGCGATTTGCCCAGGTGAGAGGCAAAGCCCTTCCTCCTCTTCCCCCTCTTCCTCCTCCTCCTCCTCCTCCTCCTCCTCCT